TAAAAATACAGTAATAAGGTTAATCGATGTCGTACGTTACGAGCCTTAAGCTATTTGAGAAAAGGTTGCTGGAGGGTCACTCTTCAGTAATCTGACTGCTTAGTATGGTACCCTTAGGGTGACATGCGACGTAGTCACTCTCAAATCATAGTCTCTAGTGCGTCAGAGATTGCAAACAAACTAAAAAACACTTCTTTCGTAAAAGATTCAAAACAAACATCAAAGTGTCATTTTTGTCCGCTTGGACTCTTAATCAAGAAAAACCCTTTCATAAGGTAATCAAAAAACCAGTCAGACAAGCTTGTGTCTTCCGTAGCCCGAACTACGTTTGCTCTGATCTTTCATGCTGTATGAAAGTACGTAGGCATAGGATGTCGTATCCTAGCGAGCAACCTTCCCCTCCTTTCCCGTAGGTAGGCGAACTACATTGACTCTGATTTCTCGTTCCAGACGGGAATACGTAGGCATAAAGTGCGATACTTTGCCGAGTCATTTTCATTTTCTTTTTAACCCAGACCTTTAGAGTAGATAGAATAACAATCCTTACTATAAAACAAGCGTGGATCCCGTCGAGTACGACGGACGTGAGGGGCGCTTGTCGCTACTCGAAAAATGCATCACGCAACGACGGGGAGGCGGAAAAGATAGACAGAAGAGTCGCCACCGAACTTTATTTATCCCATGAGGGGAAAGGAAAATATCGATAAAACCTTAAGAAAGAAATGGATAAGATGGTCTCGCAACCATGAACGGGTTCGGAAGCCGGTTATGCGAAGGGAAGGTATTAGCACCCCTCGCATCCATCGTACTCGATGGGAACCTTTTGTTTGTCGATGTGTGAATTTATTTGCCTAAACATTATGCTATAAGAAGTGTTCCACAGGGTAAAAGAAGGGTTAGAAACGGGACAGTTAGGAGGAAAGAGAGAACAGGGAAAAAGAGAAAGAACAGACTCGGTAGGACTTCGCGGTCCTAGGCCTACGTATTCTCAAAAGATATGAGAAAGTCAGAGTCGACGTAGTTCGGGGAACTACAGATATGGGGGGAATGTGCTCGGCAAGGATTGTGGCCCTTGTGCCTACGTATCTTTACTTGAGAAAGTAAAGAATCAGAGCAGCCGTAGTTCGGCCTACGATGTGTTGATGTTTTTTATGGATGATGCTATCGTGCGCATTCTAGCAGTTAGGTGTTTTGCTGCTCGCTCGTTGGAGACTTAGGCATTACCTGTTTGCGGTAGAACGGACGTAACATATCCTTTTGAAAGATTGATTAGTTTTCGCCACGCGGGGCAAGGAGTCACGTTTGATTGATTGGATCGTTTTTTTAGGGGGCGAGACAGGTCCTCGGATAGTAACCCCTGCGGGTAGTACCCAATTCGTTATCTCAAAGTTTTTGTTATAAAAAAGGTGTGGCGAACGAGGCGTCTTTGTATTGAAAGACGAGCGTCGAAACCACCCTCACTACAGTGGGCATCCCAACATTCGGAGAGGAAGAGGTCTACACCCAATCCTCTCTCTTTAATTCAAAATAAAGAGAGCTTTGTTCTCTTATTAAAGATGTTTTTGGTTTTGAATGGTAAGTGCTTTGCAACAGAGAACCCTACGTTAAACGTCAGCACTCGGGATAGGAGAAGGCCTACGCCTAACCACTCCACGACCATTCAAGTTTTTTGTTATGAAAAGATTTGAAAATGCACTCGGTACAAGACCGAGGTTTTAGGTGTGAAAATTGTGGAAGGAAGTTGTGAAAGGAAATGGTGGATAAAGTTGCGTCTTCGTATCGAAAGACGAGTATCGAGACCACCCTCACTACAGTGGGCATCCCAACACTCGGAGAAGAAAAAGTCTACACCCAATCTTCTCTCTTTAATTCGATACAAAGAGAAATCAATTTATTATGGTTTGAAAATGGACTCGGTACGAGACCGAGGTTTTAGGAGAGATGGTATGGAAACGTCTTCGTATTGAAAGACGAGTGTCGAAACCACCCTCACTACAGTGGGCATCCCAACACTCGGAGAGGAAGAAAGTCTACACTTAATCCCCTCTTTTTAATTCAATACAAAGATAATCGGATTTTGAAGATGGTTTGTCAATGCTTTTGAATCGAGTCGGGACAAGTAATGAAGAGAGAAAAGAGGTGGTCTCAGATCCAACATTACTCATCAATAATTTGACTGGTAATGAATTACAGAGGTCTCGTCATCGACCCTAAAAAAAAAATCGAAAAAAACAACGTAAAATAGATATTGAAAAGAAAAGATTACCAAAGTCCAAGATTTAGTAAAAACCTAACAAACTACTTAATGAAAATTTTTTAGCAAATTCATTGAATAAAATACCAACTTGAATATTTACAAGGATAATGAACAAAAAACAAAACAAGATTTTTTAGAAGAATAGAAATAAAAGGGAGGTATGCTAGAAATAGGGGATGAGAATAAAAATGTGAGAATCATATGGGCTTAGCAGCCCATCATCTCACTAAAATAAAACAACAACGGAATGGCAGTATGTAAATAACATACGGGCCTCAAAAGAAAACAGCCCAACCATACCAAACAAAGGCATCGCTTAAGTCATAAAACGAAATCCATTTTTTTAAAAAAAAAGCTACGGAAACGAAGCATCAGAACACTACTCAATATTCACCATACTGCTTCGTCTCACCTCAATCACTCACGGTTTGTTTGACTCAGAACAAATCTCAAGTTTCAATCTTGTTCATCTCTCCGTTTTCACACTTCTGGTTTGCTGAAAGTGAAAGTGGATTTTGTTGGGTTATTGAGGATTCGGTGAAGGGCTTTACGATTTGTTGTTGGTGAAAGTTGTTAAGGTTCGGGAAAGTTTGAAGGAGGGTCTGGTGGTTGACGGAGGAAGTTGAGGGTGACGATGAAGATTTTTCGGTTGTTTATTATTGTGGGCTTCGTATGAAGACGCGGTTTTACGATTTGAGTTTGGTAGTGGAAGTGAGGAGGAAGATGATGGCGATTAGGGTTAGGGTTCTTTGGAGGCTAGGGTTTTATGGTTTTCTGAAGGAGAAGAGAAAAGCTTTGGGGTGATGAGAGAGATAGCGGCTAGGTCCTCCTTTGCTGTCACTTCCCACGAGGTTTTATATGGAGAGAGTATGCAGAGGCTTGAGGTGATATAGTACCATTTTTGTCTGTAGTGAGGTGAAAACATTTTACTACAACATCATATAACCTCTAATTTTACTGCTAGTAAAAGTGATTTTTTCACTGAGCTTTTCACTGTGTGGTATTTTCTGCCGTGTTATTTACTTGTACATGCTTCCAATTAATTTTTCGCTTTGAATCATACATGATCTTGTTGTACTAATCACTCTTATTTCTTAATCATGTATGCGCTCACGGGAAGCTTAGCATAACACGGGTTTGATACGACAGGGAGAAAGACCAACAACAAGCTTGCGCCAGCTTTTCTCGTGTGCTACTTGTTGTTTGAAGGTATTAAGAGTTTTAACTTGCGCAATGGATACCAGACGGCAACTTGGTCATGATGTGATGAAGACTGGGTGAAAATTCCCGCAGACGAGTAGAATCACCCTTGCCTTTGGTAAGAGACTCATGTAGCCTGAACTGCTAGCTTTGAATTCGTCGTCGGTTCAATTTCATTGTAGGCAATCCCATATGCACTGATTCAACATGATTTCATGTGGACCATCTTCCTTGTTTGTTAACGTGAGACTTGGTCATATGCAGGTCAGCAGAGAGAAAACAACAACTCCTTTTCAAAACACACCTGAACATCACCAAGGAGAGGATCTTCATAATGCCATTGACATTCTCCATAATCCTGTTCTGATTTTCTTTTGCTGTGTTCTGCAGGTTTCATCATTCACTTTGAACGAGTTATCAATGGGCAAGCCGGTTATCAGGGTCGAACACGCCACGATAAGATGGTGCAATGTATTTCTCTAGTCATTAAGTGCCAGTTTTTTCATCAGCATCAGCTCTTTTTATTGTGCTTTTGTTTGTACAAGTTTGATAATTGTCCTTACATTACAGGTTGTGTGAGTTGCAGCCAGTGGTGTCGTTTGCGATCCGCGCGTCGTTTAGTGTGCGTCAAGGTTGTCATTATCTTCCTTATGATGATTATGGAGTGGTCCACAGCAGTAGCAAAACAAAGTTGAAGCATCAAGGCGAAGAATCAGAGTTCTTGTTGATTTCTATCATCAAATGTGGCTGCAACCTCCAATTTCAGCTCTACTGTAATAACGCCCTGTCGGAGATTCAATTATCCGAAAGACACCTCTCATTGTTTTTGCACTGTGAATTGACTGTGGCTTCGATTGAATGGTATGTTTTCTTTTTGCGAGACATAGCATTAGGATTCTTATGGCCAGCTGGTTTATACAACTTTCTGTGATGACTTAATATTGTTTTTATGCAGGAGGCCAATGGTGGCTTGGTCGTGATTGTTGCTCCTGGTCGTCTAGCTTCTACGCCCTATGCATTTGCATTAAATCATTCTCTAGAAAGACAATCCCGAAGGCTTGAAGTATCATATGGTGAAGGCCCTATCAAGTTCCATTCTATCAGGCATCTTGGGCTTGCTACCATAGAGCTTGGCAAGTATGCAGTCGGCGTTCCGTATTCTTCAGCAGTGGCTTGGTAATGACTCTAAGTAAAAGCCCAAATGGCCTATACCAAATTGTGATAACTTATCTTTTATTCTACAATTTCATTCTGGTGTGTTTATTCCGTTTGGCATTATCCTTATGTTGCCTTTGTCTATTGCAGCTATGAAAGCGTCGTGAAGCTCAGGGGCTACCGTAAACTTCGCTGCCGCAAATCAGTGGCTATTGTAGATTGTGAGATGTGAAACAGTGGCTCCTTTTTAATCATCAAATTCCAATATGGTTGTGGCCTTAATCTTTGTAAATTTCTTTGTGAAGCATGAATTCCTTCTTTGCCCTAATGCTTGTCATTCTCTTCTGTGTTTTACAGATATCTTCTCATCCTCAATTTTTTTGTTACGTCAATCATGAACAACAAGAAGATTATTCACATATCCATTGTTGTTAACCACCGGGCGTAACGGATCAATTTTCCATTCACCGTCAACAATGAACTTGATCTCATATTTTCCAGGATACAGCTGTAAAACAACCGAAAATATCCCCGTATCTGATTTCTCCATCTTTCTCTGGGAGGACCAACCATCAAATGATCCTACTAAAAATACTTCTGAAGCATTATTAGGCCATACTACACAAGTACTCTTCAGAAGTTTCAAAGCTTTGTGGACATAATCAATCTTCTTCTGCTTCTCATCCAGAGCCTTCTGTGCATCCATTATTGCCAATGCCATCTTTCCTTCTAACACTGCCAACTTAGCACGTAATGAACGCAGTCTGGCTTGAGCATTCATGATTTCAGTTTCCTGGAATTCCCAAGCATCGGAAAGCTTTTCGAGATTATCAGAAGTGTTCTTCTGCTCCGTCAGCATTGTAACATCACTGGTGTTTGACCTCAATGAGTACAGTACAGTGGATAGCTCTGATTCCAGATGCTGGATACGGGATTTTATGTCATTGCGATTTGCATCTAATTCGGTTTCTCTGTTTACAGGCTCGCGAGAAAAATTTCCTATTTTGACAATTTCAGGTCGTCCTGAAACATCGCACACATCTCCTTTCTTAATATCACTGGGAACAATCTCAGCATCTTCAAAATCTGCATCTGAATAACCAGTCCTTTGAACAACCCAGCTTCTCCATGTCTCTGGCTTAATTGAGTTCCTTGATTTATCTGAACCAATTTGAGATCCGTGTTGATCAAGTTTGGTAGGTGAACTACTTAGAGATCTGGTTGTTGGGTTCAACGAGGATGGTTTACTGCTATTGTGAAGGTTGGCGGCTACCCCATCCATTGTGGTTCTATGATCCCATTTATCTTTATCTTTATCTTTATTGTTATTATTGGGTGAAATGACATCTTCTTTCAAAAATACAGCCAGCAATGAATGAAGTTTTATTGACAAATTTAAATCAATACTGAAGAACACATTTGAAAGTGAATGGATGCTTTGCAAATTTATTGTCACAACCCATGATTGATCGAAAAACCCACATTTTATCATCATTTAATTTAAAGTTTTTCAACTCGAGTCTCAATTAAGCTTGGCTTATTGCCAAGTTGTTTGGACTACATTCAAACATATGATGACTCATACATAATTGAATTTATCTCGAGATGCTCTGAATTCTTTGATTCGAAATATCATGTTTACTCCATGTCCACATTTGAATCTATTCGCCAATCTTCCCCCTAAAATAGATATAACTCTAAGTTGGTCATTGAGACATAAAAACTAACATGAATCACTCTTGGGCTTTTGAATCGGAGAAAGAGAAAAATGATGTTGCGAATTAATAAATTCCTATGAATTGAGCATGGACTAAGAAGTCAAGTCTTCTTGAACTGATGTCATTTGAACCAAATTTGAATCACAATCCCTCATCACGAACCAAATCCTCATAGCTTTGAAGTCAGAGTATAATAACTTGATATGAACTGCACAAAATTCCCAAATTGATCTAATCATGAAACATCTGTACTTATTACAACCTGACAACTAAATTGCACGCAGATGACTTGAATAGGCTCAGAAACCCTGATTGAATCCTTGCTAACAATGCATGCTTTAGTGCACTCTAAGGACATGCTTCCTTCATAGATGACCTGAGTTATCTTGAGTTCGGTCTTGCACACCCAGAGTTTTGAACAATCAAGTAGAAACATCGCATATATAAACTTTCTCCTTTTTTTTTAAAAAATTTTTTTGAATAATAGTTCAAGGGTGAATGTACAGATGAAAACTAAGCAGGAAGGATAAATTTAGGGTGTGACAGATGCCCCTATCTAATTGGCTTAGACCGAGTAGGATGAACTGCTATGGAGTCCATTCCTCCGAGGTTGCAGACAATTAGATATAAAGAAAACCCTGAATTTGTCCGAAAAGGAAAGGAAATCTTGGGCATTGAAAATGACGGATGAGGTACCTATGAGTGGACAGTGGAGAAAAATAGCAATAGGCCGCCATCACCAAAAGGATGATGAGATAAAACACACACGGCTACCACCACTAAAAGGGTGGTAGAACAAAACACAATCGCACAATCTGACATCGATGAAATGCCAGACCCACCACCAAAGGGATGATGGAGCGAAACACAAACAACCCTAACACCAAAAGGATGTAAGGAGTCCATTACCAAAAGGATAATGGAAAACGCTAGTCATGACACCAAAAGGATGCCAGACCCATCACCAAAAGGATGATGGAGCGAAACACAAACAACCCTAACACCAAAAGGATGTAAGGAGTCCATTACCAAAAGGATAATGGAAAACGCTAGTCATGACACCAAAAGGATGCCAGACCCATCACCAAAAGGATGATGGAGCGAAACACAAACAACCCTAACACCAAAAGGATGTAAGGAGTCCATTACCAAAAGGATAATGGAAAACGCTAATCATGACACCAAAAGGATGCCAGACCCATCACCAAAAGGATGATGGAGCGAAAGACAATCAACCCTAACACCAAAAGGATGATAGGAGTCCATTACCAAAAGGATAATGGAAAACACGCTAGTCATGACACCAAAAGGATGCCAGACCCATCACCAAAAGGATGATGGAGCGGAGACGCTAGTCATAACATCAAAAGGATGCTAGACCCATCACCAAAAGGATGATGGAGCGAAACAAAATCAACCCTAACATCAAAAGGATGATAGGAGGATAAGCTTCTCTGAAGAGATTGTCACTTATCGCTGAAGACGGATAAGCTTCTCCCAAGAGATTGCCACTTATCACTGAAGAAAGATAAGCTTCTCTGAAGAGATTGCCACTTATCGTTGAAGACGGATAAGCTTCTCCCAAGAGATTGCCACTTATCACTGAAGATGGATAAGCTTCTCTGAAGAGATTGCCACTTATCACTGAAGATGGATAAGCTTCTCTGAAGAGATTGCCACTTATCATTGAAGATGGATAAGCTTCTCCCAAGAGATTGCCACTTATCACTGAAGATGGATAAGCTTCTCTGAAGAGATTGCCACTTATCATTGAAGGGTCAAGTCTGTCGGAGACAAAGCACGGGGGATCGCCCATGACTTTACTGGAGATGCCCCTGTCTAGGCTGAATGTTGATTTGAAAATTTGATTAACCACAGGGTTGAAATATGTCATGCAATACACCCATGGTTTTTAAAAAGACGCCCTCGGCTGGGCTGAATTTTTGCTTTGATAATCTTGAATTCCATGGGAGGACCCATGGCCTTTGCAGATAATGCCCCTGACTGGGCTGCTGATTGCCTTGAAGCTCAAAGAGTTGCAAAACTTTGTGGGGAACACCCACGGTCTTGCGGAGGAATGCCCCTGATTGGGCTCAATCTTGTCTTGATATCTTCTGAATCTAGTAAGAGAAACCCACGGTCTTGCAAGAGGTGCCCCTGTCTGGGCTGATGATCTTGGAAATCTTCGTGATTGATCCTGGATCTGAGCTCGCATATGTGAATGCTTGATGATAATGATATTCCATGCAAATGCAAATGCTAACACGCGGAGATGCAAGAGCTGGGGGAGTATGATATGATTCTGGGTATGCGTGTGATGCAAGATGCTTATGAAGTCGAATGCGATGCGTATGATGCACATGATGCAGACGGGTAATTGGGAATGCAGGTGCCGACGTGGCGGACTTTTGGTAGTTGCCAATGCAGATTGGACTTTGGGTAGGAAGGAAAAGTGAGGGAAAAGCCTCACTTCCTGACATCACATTTAACAGTTGTTGACGAGAATGAACTTGCTTGAGTAGCTTTCCATGAGACGAACTCGAGATGGTCTGCCCCAGAGTTTGTACCACAAATGGATTCATCATTGATTAGCCGATTCTTGTGGTAGTTGGCTTCAATGTACTCTTGGAGTGGCTTTCCCCTGAAAGAGCGTGGAAGCGACTTAACTTGTCTTGAATGAACATTTGAGGGATATGCCCTTAGCTCGAAGAAACTCTGGGTGGCCTGCCCCTGATCGGTATTCTCGAGATGATTTACTTCCGATCAAGCACTTCTTGAATGATTTGCCCCATGGTCGACCGATGCCTGGGGATTTTCCTCAGACTGACTGATCTCATGCTCTCGGATGTCAATGCCCCAGGTCCATAAGGTTATATGGTACATTTGGTTCTGGTCCAGACCGTTGAATAATCCAGTCATGCTTGATTGCTTTGTGTTGGAATTTCTTTAATGCCAACTACTAACTTGTAAACAAAATTTTGTTCACGAATGGTAATCTTAATGCAAAGTTCATGCAATTTTTTGAAAGAATGTCGTTTATTAAGTGTCGTGATAGTGAAACGAATGGACCATTTAGTCCAAACGTTGTGCTAATTTGATTGGTGCGAAAGATATGGCAAAGATGTTGACACCAATACTGATGATTAGCAAATCTGTGGGAGTCAGGTTACGCAACCTCGCAATAATAAGCTTTCAGAATAAACCTCGCCTCAATTAGGTCTTTCGAGGGTTTTAACGTGGTCTGGTTCACGGTTATGAAACAAAGGATATTAGGCTCAAGGTATTATTTGTACCCACCCCTTCTTCTTGATGATCTCCATACCTACGTTCAGTTAATTCTGCGCATATATGTCTTGACGGTGTAAGCTTAATGGTTCAAGGTTTGCTCGAAATGGCAGCCACCTTATTTTGCTTTTTGAAGGATGTTAGTGACCCTTTGGTTTGACCACTGAATCTTATTTTGTTTTTGCTGAGGGTTTAAAGACCTCCTTTGATTTTGCTTTTGATCCCTAATTTTTGCATGGACTGATTTGGCTTGTCAGATCCATCGGGATTGCCTTGATTTTTGCCTAAGTCCCCTTTGAGGTGCTTGACTTAGCAGGCTTTTGATTTTTTTTTTGGATTTTGTTGGAGGATTGTGACTGCCATGTCATGGTTCATTGATGAATGACCATCTTGTCTTTTGGATTTTCGCTTTGTTGATTCGAATGCGGGGTTAGATTAACTGAACACTACCCTGCCCCAGGTTGAGTGTAAGGGTTTGAATATCCGAAGGAAACTCCTACTTCTAGGCTCGAAGTGGTTGACTAGGGATTAACTCCTTATATCTCCGGTGTTTAGGGGATTTGAAACAATGCCTGTACATCATGGACGAGATTATGTCTGAAAGCATACAGTTTGCAATTACGGGTATTTCGTTTTCGTCATCCTCCCTCCAATATTTGCTAAACACAACAGTGATAAAGTGGAGTGGATAAAAGGTGTATGTGTCTGTGATAAGTGGAAATAATGAGTGAATACGACGTGACTGATTCGGAAAATGCATAATCACTTCATTAACATTACCATTCAAAACAACAATGTTTAAAAACAAGTAGCAATTAATAGGAAATAAACTACAAGATGAAAATGATAAAAAAACGCCCAAGGACTGCCAATGTTAAGGACGTTTGCCTGTCTGAACCATTGGCCTTAGGAGATGACCCTTGAAATCTCTGAGCTTAGACAGCTGAAGGGTTGACATGGACAACCAAACTTCCCTCTGGAAAAGAGATGTACCCCTTGTCAATCAATTGCTACACTTTGGCTTGGAAGGCCTTGCATTCTTCAGTCGAGTGCCCCATGGATCCACCATGATATCCACACTGAGCTTTGGGATTGTACCCCGGAGGATAAGGTTCTGGCACAGGCTTAAGAGTCTTAGGCTCCACCAATGAGTTTTGGATCAGATGTGGAAGAAGTTGACTGTGCGACATAGGGATCAGGTGAAGCGGAGTAGTCCTTCTTTCCAAGTTGTTGCGAGGCCTTCTCTGATTTTGGCGCTGACAGTTCTGTTGCTGAGGCACATAAGGTTGTTGGCACTGACTAAGGCATTCCTCATGTGCAGGCCCTTTCATCCTCAGATTTGGCCCAGGAATAGGCAATAGTTGTGGGCATGGAGATTCTGAAACCAAAGATTGTAAGATACGCTCATGACCTGATGCAGCTTCAGGGAAGAAAGCAAGGATATCCACTTCTTTTATAACACCTGGAATAAGCCCACCTGGCACTTTCACAC